ATTAATATCACCTGACGTTAATATTATAAAACCTGTATAGTTTTATATAAAACAATAACTAGTGAAATACTCAGACACGCCAAATTCTGCCTATAAGCTGTGACAACAAGAGAAATTCCCGACGAGTTTTTAATTAATTTATTAAACAGCATCTCTAGAAGAGTATAAACTGTTATAAAAGCCAAAAATGACTACATTGAGTACGTACTAAGAAACAGAAAAATTAGCTGTACTTTACTTTGGGACACCATTTTTAAAACTCTTTTTATATATATTAATAGTACTTGATGAGAAAAGATTGACTATTAAAATGTATATAAATAATAGTTTTACAAAAATGGTGTAAAAGAAAAGAAAACAAGTGGTTAATAGATAATTGCCATATTAAAAGTATTATACTTATATTTTTATTTCAAAGGATGAATTTTTATTTTTATTCATCTATTGATAATAGTACATAATTAAGTTAAAAATAGTAGTAAAAAGTTAATAATAATAGTCGATAATAAGGCAGCAATATAGTAATGCATTCATTACAGGAATTTCTTTTCATCAATATTATAAATAGTTATTGTAGTTCGCTTGGTCAACCAAATGCGATACACTCAATTCCCGATTCAATATCCGAAATGATATTTTCTTTAAAATTATTAACAATTTGTGGTTTCTTACAATAAACGATAGAGTTAACGTGACAACAGAAGAAAAAGTTATTTAAGCGATATATTTTACCAATACCGCCATCACATGTACTTAACCACTTGCACTGCGATGTACTTTCGTAGTTGCGTTTGTTACAATTATTAATAACTTACTAGAAACACAAAAAGTTCGATGCTCTTTGTACATCTAAATTTGCTCTAAACCATACAAATTAATGATAAAAAAAATGATGATCGACTTGAATTCAAAGAAATGGAATGACATTTATATTTGTTAAATTGTATTTGAAATCGCCGCCATGTATCCGACACGATATTATTAGGCAAGGTGTCAATAATAAAACTACAAGCATCTGGTTATCTTTTAAATTTTTCATTTTATATTAATTCAAAGTTTTATCGTTCTAATTAGAAAACGCTATACGAATCGAATTACTAGAAGAATTTTTTAGATACAGTTACGATTCCCACGATAGTTAGATTTCTCGTCCCGTATTTGAAAAAAAGAAACAACATGACGGAGCCAATTAAAAATGAAACGCTTCTTGCTGGCAGTCATCGTTCACACTGCACTTATATTCACCCCTACACGCTCCTCAATTCCATCACGAAACAAAATACTTTCAACATAAAAATGAAATGTTCCTATTGCTATAAAAAGAAGAAGAAAGAGATAGAAAGAAACGAATTGCAAATATATATTAATATTTGCTCAAAATTAATTCGATCGAGGAGATTTAAATAGAGATATATCTATCACGAGTAGAAACTAATCAGGATATACTGATCGGGATTCTGATCAGAATTCGGTGAAAACAAACTTTCTATTATCTTAAACGATTATTGACGAAAGAAATCCTATATGAGTAGAACTTTAATGGTACGTTACAAAACGGAAATACGTGGGACTATGTGATTAACTTTACGTAACACCTATAGCTACATAAAAATTTCATGTTCTGCAGTAAAGGTTCTCTCCATCGAGCTATCCAATGTAGAAAAATTAGCTTGGATCTCGTTATCAAAAAATTTTGGTAAGCATAACAATCAATAAAAGTAATATTCCCGATTACAGTGATAAACATTGTAAAATATGAAACGAATGTTTTATTTATCAAGAAATTGTTTGCTAATGTAAAATGTACAAAATATAGTAAATTGTATGAAAAAATACACGTGCATTTCATACGCAATCATACGGAACAGCGACAACAGGAAGGAAAGAAGTAAGAAAGTTAAAAATGAAGAAAGAAAGGAAAGGAAGATGGAAAAAGCAAGAGGTAAAAAAAGAAGGGAGAGATGGAAGAAAGGATGGAAAAAAGAAAGGAAGGAAGAAAGAAAGGAAGAAAGAAGGAAAGAAAGAAAGAAAGAAAGAAAGGAAGGAAGAATGAAAGAAAGAAGAAAGAAGGAACAAAAGAAAACATTTCATGAAAAGTAATCGATTAGAGTACTTCTAATATGATGCAAGTTAATTCGTTTAGAAAGAGCGCAGAGAATTCAACTTACAAATGATTGCAAGGATAGAATCTCATGTATCAACACTCTTCGATTTTAATGATTTTTTAATATGTTGTCAAGGGCATGATTTTTGACAACTTTTTCCTTACGCATAATCCACGGAAACCTCTATTTTCTGAAATAACCGCGAAAAACGTTCATCACAACTACATTGAATTCTATATTCGTGAGCACGTCTGTGAGACAACATAAGCCTAGTCGCACGATCGTCGCATCGGCCTTCGATCTTCTTGGATTTCACATAGGTACTCTCCTTCACAAAAGTTCTAGTTCAGGAATTATAAAATAATAGCGCGGGCGGAGGAGGAGCTCCACCGCCCTTCTTGCATCCCCGCTCTATGAAACAACTAGCTCCGCCTATGCCGATCTTTATTACCTAAGTAAAATTTATTTCAAATAACTGGAACATTTGTCAGAGGGAGTACGGGTGATCCGAGAAGATCGATGGCTCATCGATGTAAGTTGCCGTCGAAACATCAGCTATGACTACAAATTCATCACGCGTACGTTCATACATTTGTACAGTGCTATAGTTATGCTCACGGATATAGAATTCAGTATGTGGTGGCGAAAATTTTTCGCGATTATCTCGGAAACTAGAGGTTTCCGTGCATTATACGTAAGGAAAAAGTTGTCCAAAATCATACCCTTGACAATATATTAACCCCTTGCCTTATAACAGCGTATCGTTTGAAAAGTCCTGGCGGTTCTTCTTGTTGGCGAGATGTCAGGGAGGTAAGGGGACTCCTCCACTCATGATGTTTCGACCGCCTCGGTTTGCGACGCATAGTCATCATTGGTGCGCAGCAATAACACAGGACGGAAGCGATACCGACTGCAACGGAGTGAGACGTAACTATAGAAAAGAAAATTCTCTATAGTTCCGTCTTACTCTGTCGCATTTGGTCTCGCTTCCGTCTTGTATTATTGCCGCGCGCCAATGATGACTACATGTCGAAAATCGAGGCGGCCGAAACATCATGAGTGGAAGAGTCCCTTTGCCGCTCTGACTTCTTGCACAAAAGAAGAGTCGCCAACACTTCTCAGCCGGACGATACCAGACTCGCGGTGAAGATTTACAACATGATTCAACAAACATAAACATTACTCAATTCTTTCGAATTTGAAGTAAATATTATTCTTCTGTAATCAATTATTATACTTAAAAGGAAACATAGGCATAGAGTAAATTATTAATGACAAAGTAGTCGTATTGATCAGAGTTGAGAAAGAAATCATAGGGCAAGGGATTAATCTCTTTGTTGCACAAAAAAAGAGCCTTGGAAGGAATGCGGGTCTAATTAGGCGGCTTCCATGTTTTCTCGTCTTATTTTCGATATTAATTTGCTAGTCTTCAATAATCACAGGTAATAAATCAAAACCAAAAGCAAAACACGTGGCAAGAGATCCCCCTTGCCTTTATGCCATTCCGCGGTTTAGTTCCTGTGCAATGGACTGCATGTCTTGTGCTGTGTTGTGTTGTACATGCATATATGCGTGTAAGCAGGTATGTAATATGTGTGTATTAAGAATATCATTTCAACTATAAAACAAACCTTACTCAAACTTATAATTTTCAGATGCATTCATTGTTGTCAAATAAATTAATTAGAAATTTATCCGGTCACAATTGTTTTCCAAACGGGGACTTCGACTTTCGAAACGTCGTGAGTGAATAGCTTGCTCTATTTACTGACACTCCCAAACCCAAACGATTTTATGAAAGCCGAATCAGTGTGAGCTAGGTTCATTCGTAAAACTTACCAATTACATTTATTTTGGTAGACATTACGTGGATAATATAATTAATGTTGCGATCGACGTGATATTCTTTAAACTATAGTTTCTTACATTTCATCCACCAGGAAGTGAATATTGTCTTTCAATCAGTGTCATAAAATAAAATGTTTAAAACTTAACTGTAATGCATTTAATAATTCAGTCATTACAATTACACGGAAAAGGTTAAGCTGTGTCTCTGCACACAGTCTTATAATATTTTTCTATATGGAAAACTTGATATAGATGTAAATGTGTAATAACGAGATTTTATAAACTGAATTTCTAACTTCCATTCTAATTTTATTCTTCTCTTTTGGAGTATGTTTTATAAAAACTTCTATAAATTTTGACTGAGACCTTCAATGTTATATCTCAGTGGATAATCAATAAAAAGCAATTTTTATAACTGAATCAACCAAACTTTGATAAAAGCATAGAACATATCCAGAATATTTTTTCATAAAACGACCTCTTAGAGGAATTTTACATTAACATGCCAGAAAATAATATAACATTTACTGTAAAAAAAGATGACTTGTTGAAGATACTACATTTTTTTAATTTCTTAAATTTAATAATCAATGGCAGATTATATAAAAGCATTACATAAAAACATACAATAAGAGTAGCTGTTTAAATTATAATACATATCATGCAATTTTCATATCTTATTAACTTAATGTTCAATGCGGGTTATAATATTTAAGATATTCAAAATACACTTATTAATAATCTTTCCGTACCAAGAATATATAAAAGGACTGAGAGAAGTAATATATAAACTACGTAAGAAGTTTTAATAAATAGAAAATTTAGATCATTAATATATATTTTTACTCTAGTAATATTATTAGGGATATGAACAGGAAATATTAAGTAGCCATTACCAATATTATTATGAACTGCAATGGCATTTTGTATTCAAAATTTTTCTGAATTATACTTAATTAGTCAGAATTAGAATATGTCTGTGCAATATAATCATATTAATTATAATATTGCTATTTATTCATGTAATATAAAATTTCAAGAACTTACCACCACCAGAGTTCCAGCAATTATCAGTCATCCCTGTTTATCCATCTGCAAAGTTGGCACTACATTATTACACTGATATCCAGCTTGTTCAATTGTGTCACATCACAGATGTCTGCCAGAAGTATGCACCCTCAACGCACTTTTCATAAATTCTTTGTAACCGAAGTAAACTTTTACTTCTGTCGAAATGTATTACACCAATGAGAAAACACTTGTTTCATTATAAATTTCACAACACTGTCTTAATCATAGAATATCAAATTAATATAGATAATAATGTTATTACATACTTGTAATTATATTTAAGCTTTTTTATAAATGAATGATATCTAGGTAGAATTGTTGAATGGTATAAGAGTTCTTGTAAAAACATCTATAAATATACATTAACCACTATTTAATTTAGTATTTGCATATATCCATTTTTCCATTTTATCTAATTTAAAAATACCGATGGGCAACATTTCCTTTATGTCATTGAAATTTCATATTGAATGTCTCTGCTTTATATTTAAACCGAATACCTTGAATGATTTATCACATAATTTAATTTTATTATTTGCTGAAGTAAACAAAGATATATAACTTTCAGATCTGAAATATCTGATAATTTAAAAATATATGCTTTATATGAAATATCTATTCAACTATACTATACTCAGAGATAGTAAAAACATTGTAAATACAATATACTCAGAATTTATAGTAAAACGTTTATACCTGAATTGAATAACACTTGAACTTTCTTTACTTTCAAAATCACATGATAAATTTGAAAAATAATGTTTTATTCACAGGATAGAAAATTTAATTTTCTTACTTCTTCTTCAGATTGAGAAAATTTTAACTAATAAACTCAAATTTTCAATAGGAGCATTTAAAAAAATGATTATGATATTAACCCCAAGGATGCAAAGAACAAACAAGAACACATCTAAATAAGAATAATTGGTTAAAAGGTATTGCGAAATAGAAAATAATTATTCGAAATTTAGTTTCAAACAGATTTTGAGATGACAAAAATTTGTATGGGTAGGAATAACCTAATAAATATCAAAGCGAGGTTATGAACGGTGTAAATAAATCAATCAATCGTGTAGGACAAGCAGAATATTATCGTAAGTCTGATTAAGGTTATTTATGAATGTTCAAGAATCAAGACACTTGAAACACGATTATGTACCTGTTGTGCAGTGAAATGCCGTATCATAGGTACAACACTAACTTAAAACTCAAAACGGGATACAAAGCTGTATTCTCGTCGCACAATCAGGTCGACAAGCTTCACCTCATGTTTTCTCAAAGGTACCTAGAAAATGTCCAATTTGTTTTACGTCTTTGAGGTTACTGTGTACAGTCAATAACAATTTTGTATCACCGAAAAATCGCGAGGCACTGTTTTCCGACCGCAAAAATCAAAGACCAGACCACTTATAAACTAGGCTTGACATCATGACAAAGACAGAAACGATTGTGATACGTGATGACGAACGGACGACCAAACGCACGGCAATAGGGGGTCTCTGTATTATCCGTGTCTCTATCTGTCTGTCTGTCTGACTCTTTTTCTTTCTGTCTCTTTTATATACACTCTCTCTTACTCTCTCCCTCTTGCTGGTTCATTTGTTCGCTCGCTTACTCGCACAGTTCTTCGTTACTTCCCTAGATAATTCTATCTTCTTCGCACCGGCCAATACAAGGTTAAACGTTCATCAACACGAAACGGCACAAGCTACCGCGTTCGTGAATTTTAGTGGACGATCAAGTGCCCTATTTATTCAACGTACCTCACAACACATAATAGGGCACCCTCTTTTCTCTTATTTCTTGGAGTCTGTTTTTCTCTCCTCCTATCTAGTTACCTTTCTCTTTCTTTCTCTTTCATGACATAGCGCACTTTACTTATTGAAAGAAAGGGGAAAAACTCATCTGGAAAATGGCCGCCGCCCGCTCGTTACCGATTTATCCCCTTCTTGCATGGCTGTTCCCAGCGTGCACAGTAACGAGTATGAAAACACAAACAATTCTAAAGCTTCCTATATTCAAACCAACAGATTGTTATTACGATGAAAACACCGACTACGCGATACCGAAAACGTAAATTCTAGACGCCGGCACACACACGTAATAATTTCACTACTTGCTACTCCGAAAGAGTATACATACTAGTTTTTTCATCTACAAATCATACGGCACGTACAAATATAACCACAACACCTAGAAACACGACGATTTATTAACAAAAAATCACTATAACCAGAACGAACCGTCAGCGTCTTAAAGTCATCCGATTTTCTTTCGCATGTACTTTCGACGACAATGACGTCGCTTCACCATCGTACACGCACGAGTTTCTGTCTCGCTCCCGTCAATAGTCCCGTTCGCCACCTTACGACTTCGGCTATTATCGGTGAACTACGATGTTTATTCGGTACATCAACTGACCAGTCATGGTTCATACTGAGATCGTTGCTGCTCCTCCTCGTTTAGATACTGCATCGCTACTTCCAGACGGTAGATACGGTTACCGGTGCTTATATTATCTTAATCATTAGATTCTGAATTTTATGCATTCGTAACAGTAACAATCGAATAACATGTAAAAATTACTATAAATTATAACACACACCTTATTTTCTTTCTTATTTGGTATCGCCACTTATTTAAATAAGTTTCTACTTAATTTCGTTTTTCAATGATTGATCTATAAAAATATAAATTAACATAAATTTTTATTATACTAATCATTTAAAATATATACATGTCTATAAGTTTTTGAGTGTAGAATGATATTTCCTTTCTTCTAAATACATTTTCATGTATTTTGTATTATATTTATTTATATTATGTAAATAAAATGTTAAACACTTACTGTAATAAAATAATGTAATTTGGAACGTCAGAATTATTTGCATAGGAGAAGATATTAACCTTATAGGATACATTATCGTGATACACAATAATGATTTAATAATACAGTAACCATAAAAGAAAGTTCAATAATTAAATAATTATTCATAGAGAAAAGAAAGTTCTAGTTAACCATATATTTTAGGTGGTATAGATTTATATTGAGCATAAAACATGTTGATGCTAAGAAAACTAAACTTTCTTCCTCCAATAGATGTTAAAACCTAATTAAAGTACAACACATTCTACGTGAATGCATTAAATTTGAGTGGCAAAAAAGATACCATAATATTCATTTTATTTCTGCCCAGATCTTTTAAAATCACCTGAATACAAACTTATTTTTAAAAATCTAATATTGTTTTCACTGGTATTAGTTATTAATGATCTGACAATCAATGCAACTTTAAATCCTCGCATAAAAAAAATAAAAATTCTAGTTAACCATGCATTGTATGCTATATAGATTTATATTAAACGTGACAAATTTTTATTAAATTTTCTAACCATTATTGTGTTATAACAAAACTTAACATATTTGTTGAAATATTCTGTTATACTTCTGATGAACTTTTTATAGAACAAGGCTTTTCAATGGATATTTTTATTATATACACATAATGTAGATACAGGAGAACAAAAATATTTTTATCATCTATAATTTCAGTATCCAAATTTGTATATCAATACTAAATTCATACATAATTTCAAACAATTAACCACTTAAATGAAATAATTTTGAAAATATGATATGTATTACATAATTACAAACTCATGTATACAAAAATGAATAAAAACTGGTTGCAGGAATTATACAAAATCAAATTAAGATAGGTTCAAAATAATTTATTTATATTTACGTAAGGAACTTTCTTAGTGAATATTCATTTAATACTTCATATTTGCACTATACTGTAAAATATATTTTTGCTTTAATATTGATCTATATACTGTAAATTACAAATGTTTTCTCTTATGCAATTTATA